TAAATATATATATTTATTTTATTTTTTTTTTTTATTTATTTTTTTTTCTGATCTCTTTGCAATGACGAAATGTTGACACATTCACTAATACTAAACCAAAATGATGCCGTATACGTTAAACCCACTGCCAAATTATATGAAAACAGCCCCTAAGTATGAGTATACACCACCGGAAAAGACTTATAATTAATGGCTTATCATTGCTTATCCTTGTTATACACTGGCATGGAATTCTGCATATATTTTACGTGGATTCAGAAGCTAAATAGATTCTGAACCTTGGAGATATGTTGGTTTCATCTATCCTTTAGCCCCTTAATTTGAAACTATTATCGTTTATAATACTAATAGCTATTTTTGTACAATAAATGTGATACCATTTTGTGAACTTAGAGCTGAAAGTCGTTGAAATCTTAATTAAATATTTTCTCTTTCCTGTATTGTTATTGCAACTTATACCATTTGTTTACTTTACTTAATTCTATGCGCTCTGTGTGAACTGCTTTAAATCTCCCTAATTCACTTAAATCCATAAAGCTTCCGTCCATTACTCATCTTCCCTTTTCTGTCAACATTGCGCTATCATCCAGTTTATGCATAGCCAAGAGAAGCTCCCCAATGTAGTTTGACGCGTTATTGTTATGTATCTCAAAAAAAACTATGGGATTGCCTAGACTATTTGGGAAAATGAGTTTCCGGTAGAAGCTATAAAAACTTTGCAAATAGCAATTGTATCTCCTCTAATTTGAGTGAAATATCTGGACGGTGTGATTGATAAAGTTGCCATCATTTCGGCATTATCCAATTTAAGGAAAACTGGTACAGAAATAACAATGTGCAACATTATGCCTACAGTATGGCAAGACTGCATGACGCTGGTGTGAATTTGTAAGGCTTATTAAAATTTTTGCTTAATTTATCTATTCCGGTTGCGCAATAGTCACTGACGCGTTGCTTCGTACTCTGTACCTTTGCCTCAATTCCAAGGGATATGGGGCACAATTACATTTTGTCGACAAATTTGGGCAATTTATAAAAGTGTATATCATTCTGAAATTTTTTTTAAGCCAGAATTTTCAAGGAAATTTATTTGGTTATCATAATCCATCTTTATGAATGGATAGCTAACTTATTTCAACCAGACAGCATCTCATCAGAGCTACAAACTGATCAACAAATAATAACGAATCATAATTACTGATGTATAATAATAAAATGTACAAACGGCAGTAAAATACACTAATTGTAACCGACTCGTATGATATCAAGATATTAAGGTAATGACATGCAACTGAATTGTACATATCTTTTGCAAAATGTTGCTAAATTAAACATTATATTATAGGTATATTTATCCTATTTCGAGGTTGCAGAGCACTGAAAAAGTTTACTTATTACTGCTGGAAAGCCAATGATTTCTGTCTAAACTTTGCAACATGTATGTATTTTTCAATGGAAAAATAAACGCTTGGATGCTTCAAGAGTTGCTTTTCTACATTATCTTCCGTTAATAAATAATTCGCTTAAACACACAGTTTCGAGGCTAAGCAAAATTATTAGATGATAGAATAGAAAGAATTCGACAATCATGAGGCAATAATGATGATTCCTCATGAGTTGCTAGTGGGTGTTAGGGATGAAGCCATCTGCAATCAATTGCGTGTAATAAAATATAATTTTTTGGTCAAAAGCATCAATAATATTAGCTGAAAAAATACAGATTTCTCTTCTGTCCGTCATAAAAAGATTCGATATTTGCCCACTTAACTCCAAGCCATCCAGAAAGAATTTAAAAATAGCAGAAAAATGTATATGATGTATATTAATTAAATGTAAACTATTGAGATTTAAGCCGATAAGAAAATTCTGGTCGGGGCACAATTAAATAGGTCAAGAAGGATCATTGTTTAGGATTTATTTAAAACAAACCGACCTAAACCAAAAAAATGCAATGTCCAGGAAAATAACAAATACTCGAAAAATCTTTTTCAGAAAATGAAATAATGAAAATTGATGATTATAGCCATTCTTCAATCTACTTGTCTGGCATTAGATAAAATAAAATTTGAGAAAACACTTGATAATCTGTCTAGATAAAAGTAAAATAACTGTAATTTTTTTACATTTTAATCTATTCTATTTGAACATATGCTATACGCTGTTAACAAAAGCAGATTGATTATTTGAGGATTTTATGGTAGATTATAACGTCACAAAACAGAGTAAATACATCTCAAATAGAGTGATCCTTTGTTATGAATAACTAACAAGTTTGCAGAAAAGATGACAAAAATAAGGCATTGTTGAGGAGACTTTCATTTCGAATAAAATTGCATGCTGGAAACATTCGAATGACGAACCCAAAGGAAGATTGCGGCTAATTGCTGCTGAGTTGTAGCCATTTGGCTTAAATACGATGGTCAGGTTGGTACAGTCCTCCTTCATTTAGAGAAAATAGGGCTGAAATTTCGTCCATCATATGATGGACATCCTCAAAGCTGGAAATCATTCTTGTAAAAGTGTCACATTAGCACTAGATCAAGAATTCCATGACCATTCACATGAAAAGAAATCAGCTCAAAAAGTATATGCCCGGGGGTCCGCAGAAATCACTTTATAAACCTGTTTTTATAGTCTTGTCTGATCCTATACCTGCATGCATTTTCGGTAATGCATTCTTTATCTGAATCTATCTCTCGGAGAAATATTGGTAAGATATTAGATTGCGTGAATCTTAATGTATTTAAAGGTAGGCTGCCGAGAATAGCTGAAAAAAACTTTAATAAATTTAATCGCTTAATTTCAATCTTATTTCTTAATTACAAATATGATGAGTCCTGTCTCTGAATATGAAGGATGTAGATAAAATTTGCTGTTAGTAACTTGACAGCAACCGTAAGTATAAGGATTAACCTCAAACTAATTGTTTAGGTCCTTCCATAATTAAGGAAATTATCAAATGAATTTGTAATTCTACAAAATCTTTTGGTGTTTTACTTCATAGTTTATTGACTATGAGTATATCAGTAGAGCTTCTATTATACTTCTAGTCATTCTAGGTATAAGAGAAGGATAACCTTCTAAGAAATGCACTTTTCCATAATCATATAATTATGCTTTATGATGCTATTGAAGTTCACCTAACCTTGCTACCTAAAAGTTCTACACATCCAGGGGGGATTGCGACTTCCCCAACGCCTGACCCTCATCAGCATTCCAGACAGGAATCGAAGAGTAAAGACAAACATGCATTTTGCCATTACAATAGGATAGGCTACTTGATTCGATATAAGTAGTATCTGAGATTATGACTAGATCTTGATTAATGGATTTAATCATCCTAAGTCTTATAGGGCAATTAAGGAGGGATATTAAAATTTTTCACAGATTAAGCTTGTCCATTGTCATACTTTGTGAATAAAGGGAAGGGATCCATAACGTACATTATTGGAATGCATCTGGGCTATCATTGACTGTTGAATAAAGAATTGTCCAGCCTAATTTGCTTAAGAGGATTTAAGGATCGCTAGTAGAGTTTCTTACAAAGTCCTTTTACGAACATTAATGATAACTTTTTTGCGATGGTGTGTCGTCATGGCGCTTACAACTCAGTTCCGAATCACGATGTGGGTGCTGATGAGGTAAGCCCACAATCCTGCCTGAATTAAAAACCTATTGAGATGTAAACCGATGAGAAATCTTTTGCATCGAAAGGACAATTTATACTACCCTTAAGTAATTACTTTTAAACACATTAGAATTCGCATTATTGAAGATTTTAACGATGTTGCAGTAATAAATAGACCGAGGTTAAACTCGAGAGTTCATGTTACACGATTAACAAACATGACTATAAAATCAGGTTGATAGAGTGTTTGGTGAAGAGATTCGAAGGTCGATTCCACCAGAAGACGACGGCGGATTCATCTCGACCAGCTGTCGAATGGCTGTACTGGAATAGTCATGTTGACGCTGCTTCCGAGGAAATCTTGCTCAATTGCGGTAAAAAGGTGCTAAGCTTTCGTGCGTCACATGACGAACATCATCAAAGCAAGTATCATCCTCACAGCCAAATTCAAGCTAACGAGTCAAGAAAACTCACCGGCAAATCCTTAAAAGTATCTTTTCATATACTCTATATCTGGGCCTCTTTGATGAGGTATAAAGTGATTTAGTATTCTGAGGAAATCGACTTTCAAATCTCTTGACCAAACACTTTCACTCGACAATTATGAAACAAGAGAGTTCTCGAAACCCAACTTTTTTTCGCAGGTTTGGAAAGTTTTTTTGCGGATCCTGGTCATAATATATATATAAATATATATATATAGATTATTTTGCAAAATTTATTCTTGATCCAGTGTTAACACGAGACGTTTACAAGAATCCCTTCCAGCTGCGATGATGTCCATCATGTGATGGGCAAAATAGCAACGTCTGAGGTACAACAGGATTCAGCCCTCGTTTTTTTGGGGCGACCAACCTACGAACCTCTTCTTCATGTGCTCGCATACCAAATTCAGTTCTGCCCAACAATGTTGTCTCGGGAGATCAATCGAAATCCACATACTCTTCCTATCGAAAATACGTCGGTTGTGAGATCACTTCTATGCAAAGCAAAATTGATATTTATTGTTTTAGACAAGAAGTGAAAGTAATGGGTGGCACATTTAATTGGAAAATACATTCTTTGAGGGTCATCCGGCCAGCAACAGTCGCAATGTCTATTTACTGGCCACTCTGAACAATCTTCAGAACAGATTGCAGAATGGTTAATGCGGATTTTCCGAGTTGCACAAACTCATCTACTCGCTTTGCAATGTTTTGCGTCTCCTCTGGCCCTCCTCTAAAATGGCCAAACGAATGCTGTATGCCGCGATCTTCTTCAGCCAGCAACTCAAATTCATGAGCCAACCGATCAGTCAACCTAGCCGTTTCGTGAATCAGATCTGGATCCCGCATTTGAGGCCTTGCTTTCGAGACATCTACAGCTATCGCCAAGACGATAAAAAGACATAGCCGAAGGTGCATTTTCTACACATACAGGATAAATATTATTAATAAACAGATACAACAAATATAATTTCATCAAAAATAAGGTCTATTAAATATAAATAAAATGTAAAAAGCCACGAAAGTGACGAAATACTTACCAGTAATCAAAACTAACAAATAAAACCAAAGAGCAAAGAGGCTTAACAGAGAGTGTTTTTTGATGGGCTAACTGGAATAGCTTATCGACTCGAGGATACAGTGCAGAAACCCTATCTCCAAGGCACAATTAAATCAATTATTTATAATGATTTTCTCAACTTTCCAATAATGAGCAGGCTAAAATGAACCGAATATCTGACGACTTGCCCAATATTTTAAGATAAATTAGACTGTTTCCACAAAATGTTAGTTGTGCCAAAAACGATTGAAATTCATTAAGCGCTTAATATTGCCGAATGTAAATTTTTATTTGTCTATTTAATAGGGAGAAATAATGGCCGAATGTTTACAGCCCTAGCTAAAATTTATATTTTATGGCCAGCGGGAAGGATAGAAGTCGTACCAAAGAGTGCAAAAAGGCTGCTTAATTTTAGCCTAAAAATCTGTTCTCGCTATGATTCTTTCCAACTTTTCATTTGCTTCTGGCAAAAAATGCCACATTCTGTTGTTGTCCTGATTGCCGAAACCTGATTTTAGTTGATGTACCACACTTTGCCAAAATGAAGATGCACACAATGAAGCACAATCCTATCGGCGAATGTATGATGTAGGTGAGAATGTTAAAGAAAATGCCTAAATTCAGCAAGAAAGATGATTTCGGGCCGAATGGTATTATTAATAAAACAATAAAGTTCAAGAATAGGCAGTTTTTTAAGTTAAATATACAATCTCTGGGTGAATTGGAAAACGCAACAAGTGATGCCTCAATCGATGTGAAAGCCTTTCCCAAAGATTGACTTCTTCTAAGCGCACCTTCAGATGTTGCAATATCATCGTACATCTTTTATCTTCATACAATATGATCACCTGCCAAA